GAAAAGTTTGAGGACCCCTGGATTAACTAGTGCACTGCAAGATCCTCAAAAACTTCACCACAATTGTATCCTGAGTATTAGACCTCCCTCTGCTGCCCCTCCCCCATTTACTAATCTAGCTTGCCATCTCTCAGTCAGCTGCAGCTGAGATCAACTGCCAGCCATAGTTGCTGAGTCTCAGGGGTCATTATTGCTGACTTGTAAATAAGGCATTCATATAGCTTTAGGAAAAAGTGTGGGAGCAGTTGCAAAGTTCTCAGTGAAGTATTTTTCCCTGCACTTGCTCCCAGCAAGTATGCTTCACACATTGCTATAACAGAATTTCCCTACTTTCCTCCCCTTTCTTGCAGCCATGAAGCTGTCTTTTCTCCCGTTTCTTTCCAAACACGGTAGAACAGCTGTGGAGATTTTAGTGTTTTCCATTCTGGTGCTGCTGGGGTACAGTTTGCTGTATGTAGTTTCTTAGCTCTGGAGGCAGTTTCCTGCCTGTTTTTCTTTGTTTTCCTCCTCCCTTCTTGCTTAGCCCCCTCAAGTTGCTGGAAAGGTTCTTTTTGCAGCCATGGAAGCTGTTTCCCCGCCTTTTTTCCTGGCTGACACCAGAGTGGCTTCTACTTCTCCCCTTACCCTTCCCATACTAGTTGTTGAAGGAGCCTGATTAGCTTAACTAATGTTACTTGCTTTTAGCTTAACTAACGCTGTTTGCTTTTTGTATAACTGCTTGCTTTGGAGAGGAGAAAGGGAAGGCAAAAGAATGTTGATAAAGAGGCAGTGAGTGAGACCGCCCCCCCCCCCCCCAAGGGGGGGGGCACACCGCGACCCCCCCCCCCCCCCCCCCGTGAGGGGATTGGACGTAGATAAGCACCTGCGTGTAAAGCCAGGCATGCAGTGGACATGCAGACCCCACACGGGGATTGGGTAAAGGGTCAGGCAGACCCTGAGAGGGGATTGGGTGAGGGAACAATGGGGGCGAGATTAAGTGGGAAAAGAGAGGAAAAGGAGGAGTGAGTGAGTGAGTGTGCGTGTGAGTGTGTGTGTGTGTGTGTGTGTGTGTCGCTGCCTGCCTGCGTGTAGGGAGCACAGACCCGCTTGCTTTGCTCAGCTGAATAAAGAAAACTGAACGAATCTCGCCTGACTGAACCTCATTGGCACTTGGTTTAGTGGGTCTGTAAGTCACCTGGCTAGCAGGGAATCAACATTGTGAGACAATATGAGGGAGAATTATATTGCACTTGATAAGCAGTTACTTCTTTTGTTTGCTTCCTTCTTTTAGACAATTCTTTGGAGAGCTGAAACGGAGTCATTTCAGTGAGGCTTGCTCCTCTCCAGTTTGATTGAGTCTGCTGCAGTAACTTTGAGTCTGTGAGACTGTTTTGAGATTCAGCAGTGACTGGCAACATTATGTATTATTAAACTGTCCCAGGGCTTTGGTAATGGGACGGTCTAGAAAAGTTTTAAATAATAAAAGCAAAGCAAAGCAGGAAGATAAAGAGTTCCTAAGGTCTGCCCTGAAAGGTAATGATGTCATACTGTCTGCCCAAAGCCATACCATACTGCTGTTATTCAAAGAACAATATATACAAATCACTAACACCTTTTCACCTTCATCATTAGAATCAAAGAATAGTAGAGTTGGAAGGGGCCATGAAGGCCATCGGGTCCAAGCCTCTGCTGTTGCAGGATACCAAGCAATTATTCCATTTATGGTAGTTTTCCGCTATTCATTTTACCTACTGGGGAATGTCTTGTTAAAAATGTTAGGGTGCTTTTGAGCAGCTTGATTACCTGTTGAGAGGACCATTCCTGTTACCCTTTTGGGGGATGCGCAAGAGGTTTGCTTCCCCTCTGCTGCCTGCACTTTAGCCGTGTGCAGACTTAGAACTCCAGGAAACAGACTGCAGCGGCTGGTGCCGATGGGGCTTTTGCAAGTGATAGGGGTGTGGTATATAGAAAATGTTTATAGGTCTTTGTAATTATATTTCATAGCACTGTGGTGGTATTTAATCTTAAAACAAAAAATATAAATTTTTAGTTGCATTTCTACAAAAAACGAATCCATATGAAATGGCACTCCTCAGGTCAGTTTTTCACCCCTCTTTGGTCCATGACTTAGGTGGGCACTTAGTGGTCTTCATGGTGGTACCAGTCCTGGGAACCCAAGGCAGCTTACATGGTCCTCTGCTCCATTTTATCCTCAAAACAATCCTGTGAAGTAAATTAGGCTGAAAGTCAGTGACTGGCAATAAGTCATCCAACGAGTTTCACAGCCAAGTGAGGACTAAAACTTTGGCTCTCCTGTGTTCCAATCGAATGCTGCAATGACTCTACCACACCAACTAGCTAGAAGAGTCAAGCCATAAATCCAGCAAAGAAGAAACCCTTCCAATGGGAAAAATGGCTAAAATGCAATACTACTCCCACTTACCTTGGAGGAAGCACAATTGAAGTTCTTGTCATTTATTTCTGAATAGACCTATATAAGGCTGCACTTTAATCAGTGGGAAAATAGGTAGGTAGCAGACAGTAGGTTCAACAGATTTTACCCAAGTGTGAGAAAGTACATGAAGCAGAGGCCTGCACTAACCACAAGTTCACTTCAGCCCGATTCCATGATTTGGACAGCAGGCCAATTGAATATACCTGCTTCAACTTTGTGCTTCCTGCTGGAAATTAACAAACAGCTTGTATCTTGTGCTGGTGGTTTGTCAGAACTGGATGAAATTTACAGGCCTTTTAGTAGCCCTTTATGAGAGGATTACACCTGCCAAACTTCAGACATCAGGGAGGGAAGGATACGAGTATGACAGCAGTCATGACTTCAGTCCAGCTGTCTGTAAAAAGGTTAGTCATCCTGTAGCAAAAATCCCCATGAGACTCTGGGAGTAGTCTTGATGGTTACATGGAGTCTCTATCATTTTGCCTTTGGAGAGAGCTACTTTCTTAGACAGGGAGATGGAAGGTATTTCTAAAGTGACCATTGTTTGTTGCTACAGTATTTTTAGATAGCCAAAAGGACAGCAGCCTCCACTCCCTTTCTTGCGGTTTCTGAACACTGGGGCAGCATGCCTTCTTCACAATCATTCAGAAATGAAAGCTCTCACAAGATTTGAACTCCAAAACTCTTACTAGATCGCAACTGGCACCATTCTTTCCATACTGTGACTTCCTTTCCACCAACACCCTCAAAGGTCTTTGGTTTTACAGCTAGCTATGCCTTTTAAACAACCTAAAATCCACTCCAAATCTTATTACGAGTGTCACCTTACCACTCCCTAAAACCTTTTAAACTGTGTCCATTTTGCACCTTCTCTTTCATATTTAGATGCACACACTGACCAGCGAGTAATGTAGCATGTTTTGTTTTGCTGTTGGCTAGTTTCATATATACTTACTAGGGCTGTTTGTATTATTTAAAATACTTACTGATAATTGGGGCAAACATCCTCTGAAAAGTGCTCTTGAAACCCCAAGAAGGCAAACAAAAGTTATAAGAGCCAACAGTAAAATTACAATTTTTTGTAATTGTACTGAGTGCCAGTTCTCATTTACAGGCTTTAAATAGTTGTGTTGTGTTTTAATTTTTAATCAGCTTATCTTTTAAAAACCTTGCCTCCAGCTTCTTGATTCCTCCAATCTTGAAGTACTTATTTTTAAAAGCAAATATTGATTCAGAGCACTAGTTGAGGTTGAATATTGAAGTAGCTGTATGGATGTTAGCTGATGTGTGTGACAACAAATTTCAGGGAAAATAAAACTGAAAGGACAGTACCCTATTTATTATTAAAAGCTAAGATAGACTACTAAAATGAAATGAACTCCAGCTGCCCACTCAGAATTGAGGAATGAAATTCAGTCCAAATGGTCAGTTTGGGGACTATTCAAAGTAGAGAAAAATTCAGTGTTTCAAAGTTTATTATTTATGGTAAAGGACAGATGTCTTATTATCCAAAGATTTGGCAAAAAATCCTCCACAGATGGATTCCATTCTGGGTTTCAGTAATTTAAAAGCCAAAAGCCTCATATTATCTGAACTAGGGACCCACATTAAACTTGGAAAATAATAAATTTGATGAGTAATTTGAGGTGCCTAGTCAACCATTTAAGACAGAAACCTATGCGGAGATAAAGAAAAAAGTTCCATTAACTCCCAACATGCCCAAGTCAGCACACACAAGGAAGTGGATTATGCTCTGCACTCTCAAAGTTTACATAGTATTAGAAAGCAATCACACTTCCAGAGGGGAAAAACCAGAATGAAATTTCAGTTGAGATTTTTCTTAGAGTAGCAAATTACCAGCTTCTTTAATTCTCAGCTTTCAGCCAGATTACATTAATTTTCTGATGTCAATTTAAAAACTCAAAACTGCTGTACACATGTCCTTGCCACATTGCCTAAATGTTTTGAAATAATGTTCAAAAATTGTATTTATATTCTTGAGGACATTCTATACGCTAAACTAGAAGATTACTAGCCACAATACTGTAGATGTTCTACCTTACCCCTTTAAAAAACTGAACAAAATTTTGAAAATGGCTGCCATTACAATATCTAAAATGAAGTATGATATCAAGCAAATTAACTGAAAAATTAATCAATTTTATTCTGTATTGGAATATACAATGTATACACTGTTAAAAACACTTTTTCTATGCTGGCAGTATTAAAAGGGGCTTTCAGTATTCTTGAAGATATTAATTCCTTCCATTAACACTCTTATAGAATGAAAGGAGTAGAAAAAGGACCAGAATCAGAATACAGCTCGAATTCTTGTCTTAGGAGTGACATAGGACCAGGCCTGATTCCAGTGTTTCTTGAAGCTAGTATACCCAGGTCAACAAAGCTGTTCCTGGACGAAACAATTATTTCCCACTTTAATGTAGCATTCAAGTGATTTCTCCAAGGCTTAATTCAAAAATGACTGTTCAGACTGCTGAACAGATAGACATGCATAATAAAGGACAGTTGTGTACAAAAAAACATAAAGCAATTTCTGTATGCCATCTTTGACTGTAAATGCATTTTAATAGCATCATTAACACTTGTGATAACACTGGGGTTGGTCAGAGTTCATATCAGGTAAAATTACAGGTAGACTTTAATTCAGAAGGGAGTTGAAGGGGCAAATCCAAAAGTCTAGAGTTGTCCAGTGTGCTATGTCATCCTCTAACACATTTTAATTGCAGGAGCTCTTCATTTATGTTTCTTCCAGTGCCCCAATACTGATTTATTTAGGACATGCCGATTAAAGCTTCTTACAAAGTACAAGTAGGTGAGGTCTTTTAGTAGTTTGGAAGTAAAGTTTTCTTCTTTGAAATAAGAAAAGGCAAGGTAAAACACCCGTGCGTATATTCTAAACAAAGGCCAGGTTCCTTGTATTATTGGCCCCTAGCTGAAATCAAAGTTCTTCAGGGCTAGACAGCTCAAATCACCCAAGCCAGGTTGTCTAGATAGTACACTTAGCCAAAAGAAACTATTTCTTACTAGGTATCAGGTCAAATAAGGAAAATTATGTCATCTGACATCATGATCTGGTTGTCATCTTGCATTGTGTCCAATGCTGCCTTGACTTCAGCAGATGAAAAAGGGGTTGGGTTGTCCCGGTTGATGGATTCCATCAAACTCTTCAGTCCCACAGACTGTGCATGAGCAGCTCTGAATACCGCCAGAAGAGCAGCCTTGAAAGCTTTAAGCCTATACATGCAGAAGACAAAGCATTTTAAACAGCAAATTCCCATCCAATTTTTACATATATATAACATTATATATATAGTTTATTATATTTATATCCTACTTTTTTCCTTTCAAGGAACTCAAGGCAGCTTACATTGTTCTCTTCATCCTCCTTTCAATCTTATATCCACAACAACAACCCTGTGATGTAGGTTGGGCTGTGAGTCTGTGGCTTGCCCAAAGTCACCCAGTTGGTCCCATTCTAGAAGGGACTAGAACAAAGGTTGCTTTTCCAGCCCTGTCCATGGCTGCCTTTGGCCTTGCCCACCACTGGGATACAGCTGCCAAAAGCTCCCCTAAAATAAAGTCTGCCTCTTGCACTGAGGAAGGGTTCCCACCCATTTCACTTTATTCAGAAAACTGTTATATTTGTAAATTAGGAACTTGCATGTGGCAAGTAACAATCGCTTGCAGCCAACCAGATGAAATTAGCTACTGAAGGAGCATGTAGGGCCAAAAGCAGGGGTTTCTCCAGCTGGAGAAAAAGCACACCATTGTTGTTCTGTCTCAGATGTGCCACTTTTGCCTGTCTTCATAAGATAGGCACCCACCATGCAGGACTTTGATACTGCCGTTTACAAGGCCGAGTGTGAAACCATTGTAGGCACTGATTGGGCCGATGCCTATGGAAGATCTTGGGAGGAAGCCTGGCAGCATCCGTTAGCCAGTCAAAGGGGCAACTTTCAATGACCTCAAAGGACTGTAGCTAATTTGCATACATACTTTAGTCATATGTAACTAGCATCATTTGCATATATTTCAGGAATATGATTGCCTCTAGTCATTTCTTGATTACAGTGCTCAAACAGAGAAAATGCTATGAGTTGCTTTATTTGTTTATCTACCACATTTTCAGCCACAAGAGCTGGAGACTGCTTAGAATGTTGCACAACCTCGGGGTCATGCATGAGTGCCTAAACCACACTGCACGAAGCAATGGTCTACATTATTTCCTTGTGTGCTACCCACCTGGACTCGGCTAGTTTTGATTTGGCCTCCATGGTGCCTGAAGGTTCAGGACTCCTGGGCACATGTGCCTGGACTAGAAAACGCCAAAAGGAGATAACTGAGTTAGTGTACAATTGGTATCATCAATTCCTGGTACAGTAGGAAGATTAGATACATGGCATACCATGGTGTAGTGCGAAGACATTACTAAGACCTGGGAGTCATTCCCATTACCAGTAAATGAACACTCCATGCACTTGGGTTTCACTGACTGTTAGTTTCAATTCTCCATCCATAAACACAGAAATTAGGATATGCTTCATAAATTTGTTCAGAGGTGTTTCCATGCTTAGAACTAGCTGGGTCACCTCTTTACAGTTGCATAACTCATTAAAGTAAGATCCATGAGCCCCCATAGAAAAAGGCTGCAATTCTGTGCTTACTACCCCAACAGTAAAAGCCTCACTGAAAGCTGTGGGACTTACTTCTCAGTAGACAAGGCTAGGATTGCTCTGTTAGGTAACTTTTAGTTTTTTGTGAATAAGGAAGTTACCACAGTTTTCTTATCCTACTTCTGCAAAGCATATTTCAACTACAGAACAGTAAGCAAAATGAAATGGTTCACATATACCAGGGATCGGCAACCTTTAACACTCAAAGAGCCATTTGGACCTGTTTCCCACACAAAAGAAAACACCGGGAGCCGCAAAACCCTTTTGACATCTAAAATGAAGATAGCATTACGGTAAAAAATGATATATGCAGTGTTATGTATATCTTCATTATGATTTAGCTGCAGCTCTTGCTCAGTCACTAAAAACTGTTATTTTTAATCTTACATTACAAACTAGTGGGACTCCTTTCATATATTTTGAATAGGAGAACAGCTTCCTGCAGAGTCAAAGTCAGTGCTAAAGGGCTACACGCATTAAACAGCAAACCCCATAAGTTCATCAGCAGTAAAAGCAAATGAATCTACCTACGTATCATTAATCGTTTGGGTTTTCTTCAGAATCTTTTCTTCGATTTATCCACGGTTGGCCTACCGGGGGTGGGGGGGCTCATTAAATCAGAGCGGGTCGCAGATGAGATATAGGTGTGTTTAGTGACTGATTAGCAGATAAACAGTCAAGTGCTCTGAATAGTGACAGGTCCCAAGCGCAGCTTTTAACATTCAGATGAAGGAGATTACATTGGGACAAAGAGAGTCTTTTCAGCAGCTTTCGTGTAACATGAGAGCCTGCAGGAAGCTTGTTTAGCAGAGGAATGTAGCGATTTACTTAACTTAATGTAGCACTGCGTTGTGCCAGCACGTGTTTTGAGCAACGGAGCCGCAGCAGAGGGGTTCAAGAGCCACGTGCGGCTCCAGAGCCGCGGGTTGCTGACCCCTGACATATACTCATGGAACAGAATCCAAGCATATGAGTATGATACAACTGGTAAATTTTGAAATAGGAAAGAGTAAAGTTGCTGAAAATTTCCCATGTTCTGGTTTTAAAAAGCCAGTTTTCCACAGTCTGACAAAATCTACTGAGAAGTCAGCTAGCACTTTCTAGCATCTTTAAAGGTGTCGTGCTTTCTGTAAACTTCTAAGATCTGGCTTGCCAGAGATGAAGTCATTTTTGCAACCTATCCCTTGAAACAAAAGTTAAAAGCATCACTGCATCATTTTCCCTGAATTTATTCATCTGCTAGTCTGAAGGGGACAGATGGGAAACCACTCACCTTCTGGCATTTCTTGTTCAGTGTCACTGAAGGCATAGGGATCATAGGTCTCTCCTTCCATGGGCTCCTGATCACTAGACTGTGTCTTCCTTCTACAGAAAGACAAAAAGTTAGTGGCAGCATCTTCATCATGCAAAAACTGCTAGTAAAGGATGTATTTGGGAAAGAACTGGCACCTCCCAGATCCTTCTGGTCCCCAAATACTTTAATTCAAGTTTGTCCTTCATCATAACCATCTTGATCAGGAACTTGCTTTACAAGAAAAAGTGGGGTGATTTTGCATTATCATAATGAATATTCTACACAGTATTTGCTGTAAGCATGATCATTTGTGTCACTTCTCTATGTTCCTGAGGACAAAGGAAGATAAAATAAGATTATTGGTTTGGTTCCCTAGATACTGAGCTTCAGGGTCGAAGAAGGACTGTGCAACACATTTGTCCTAGGCAGATGGTGCTGGTGGCCCTCTGGGACCAAAACCATAGACATGGACTGTTAAAGATGCATAAAGTCTCTATGCCTGGTTTACCAACTGAAAATGGTTAGTCAGCTCAGAGCACTCCAAAGCATGTACAGTAGTCCCCCGAAATTCACGGGGGTTACATTCCTAAAGCACCCATGAATTGTGAAAAACCGTGAATTTGGTGCCGGCGATAGGCACCGGCCGCCAAGGCAGTGCAGGCGGGAGGCATGGGCTGGGCCAGGCGGCGGGCGCACGCGCATCGCGAGACAGAGGCAAGTGCATGCAGAGATCGTTTTCTCTGAGTGAGTCCAAACTCAGAGGAAATGATCTCCTTGTGAGTAAGCTGCAGCACAGCGAGGCACCAGCTCACTCGCAAGGAGATTGGCTTGGACTCGCTCAGAGAAAAATCCCGCAAAAGACTGAAGCTGCAAACAATGAACCATGACTTCATGGGGGTATACTGTATCTCAGTTGTGTCTCTCCATTACTGTGCAGAGCCACATAGCGACCAGGTGTATGTAAGACACAAGGGACCCAGATAACCAGGAAAGGTTTCAAGGCAAGCTGCATGTAGCCACCTGGAAAAGAATCACCAAGCTAGCCACCACCTGGACAGTGGCTAGTAATAAGGCGAAGATCCATTTACACACTGAAGATAGTAAACTGTGCTTTGCCAGCTCAGCTGCCTAAGAAAGATGAGAGAGAGAGAGAGAGAGAGAGAGAGAGAGAGAGAGAGAGAGAGAGGGAGAGGGAGAGGGAGACGGAGACGGAGACAGAGAGCGAGCGCAAAACCACTTAGAAACTCTCTTCTTCACCTACCTCTTTTTCTGTCTCTCTTCACTTTCTTGGGCCGGCTCACCATCTGTTTCCAGGTCACTATCATCTTCTTCCTGCTTCTTCCGTTTCTTTTCTTTTTCCAGAACCTATAACACCAGGGAGGGCAAACTATCCATAATTGGTCCAATCAGCAATTTCTTCATGGGGCGATGAGTGCCTGAGTATCAAAAGCAGCATTCAACTGTCCATGTGGCACTTCAGACAGGAAGGGGAACCTTACACGGATTTAAACCTTGAGTTTCCAGCACCAAAGAAATGCACCCAGTGCTTTATCTGCAGGAAGCATTACCAGAGTCTCTTCTGTTGGGATTTGTATGCAAGGAACAGCCTAACAGATAATTTTCAGAAGAGCATCTCAATTTCCTTGACAAATCAGTACAATACAAATGAGGAAAACTCATGATGTGCAGTTTCTATGCAGGCTGGGTCAACACCATGTGACTAGTAGCACAAAGGCAGATTTACTCAAAGGCTCCTTCATATGCACAAAGGCAAATGGAGGAAGCACCACTGGGTACAGATGCCTGTTACCAAATGATAATTAGCGACTTAATAAGATGGCCTCCTAAATCTGTGAAATGCTACATGAAGACATCCTGTTCAAGACCTAATGGCGCTTTGTTTTTCTCATAAAGGCCCATGACTGGCCCCGCTCTGCCCTTGCCAAAATTCTCGAGTAGTGCAAGTCTCTTTGCACAGAACGGCTCCACCATAACACAGAACATGGCCAAGCAGAAGCTTCAATGCATCAGCCTCACTGTGCGTTCCTGGCACCAGGTGCACTTTCCCAAGAACAGTGCTGGGTCCCCCCAGCCCCATTTGCAGAGCAATTCACTGATCTACCTCAACTTCAGCGTAAAAGTCTCCCATGAAAACAGGCACCCCTACACCAGTTTGCACACCTTTTTGAAATAGGCAAACTGCACCAGCTCTAAAGCAACTTTTGCATCCTGTACTTCAATGGTTTTACTCATCCTGGCTTTAGCATGTGCAGTGGAGAGTCGGATCAATGTCTCCAGTGTTCGGGCTGTGATAGGCGAAGTCTAGAAAAGAACAGAGAAAGATAGTGGATTCAGGTATTTATTGCATATGCACTTACAGTCAAAGATGTTACTCTAATATTTTCTTTTGAAAAATAGTGATTCACATGCTTTATGAATAACTATTTTGCAATAGAAATTGCAGGCATCAGGCCTCCATGTGTATCAGGCCCATGGCAGGGAAAGGGTTAAAGCTTATCCCCACTGGGATAGTCCCACTAGAGGTAGGAACCCCTGTATCTGTTCTAGAGTAATAGCTCTGTTTTTAAAGCTGTGGCTGGTTTGGCCCTCAGGAGGGAAGAAACACAGCACTGCATGAAGTGAAGAAGCCTGGAGCAGTTTTGCTGTTACCAAGAATGAAGTTTCTCAGAGCTGTTGACTCCACCTGCAGCACAAGCAATCAAGACAGGATAGCACTAGAACATCCACGATGTGGAAGAGGCGGAAGCTGTCACATACCCAAATAAATATCCCCATACTGATCTAAGTAGGAGACTACAGACAGCCTCTGTTCATGCAATTCCTCACATCTCTAAAAGAGCAAAGCTTGCTTGCCTTTGCCCTGGCTCTTACAGACGAGCCTGTCGCCCACAGTTGTAGCTTAAGACAATGACAAGGTACTTAGGGTACAGAAGGCTGTTTGTGGATTAGTATATGCACTGTGTTGCCATTAGGCAAGTGGGAGTGCAAAGAAGCTATGTCAGCTTCCATGTGCAGCTAAGGGGCACGGTGCTGCAGTGGAGGATCTGCACATGCTTTCCAGCTGTAGGGATCTCCATGCAACAGTCTGCATCCCTGAAGAACAGCCTCCCCACAGGTAACTGCCTGGTTCTCCACAGAAGCTAGAGAGGCTCCCCTCCAAACTGAAGTAGGGCTTTTCCAGGAATGAGAAGTCCAGGGAAAATTATCCTAATCATCAAAGCAGCAAAGCTTTGTGACTGAAAGACAAGCAACTGCTGTTATGATCAAGACAATTTTGTCTGACAGACATTCATCATTTGCCACCCTTTACTCCAAGGAGCTGAGGAGTGCTGTTAGCCTCATCAGCCCAGATTTGATTAAATCGCCACAGTCCTCCAGTTCAGCAGAAATTTTAGCCTCTGTTCCCCTCCGCCCGCCCATCATGCCACAGCCACTGCACCACGCACATGAACACAGATCATCACCTCCTCAATCTCAGTCAGAGGAGGCCGTGTTCCTCCCATCGAGGTCTCCCTCTCACTTCGTTTTTGTCCTTTCCCCCCTCCCCATCCCTCCAAGTCAAAAAGACCCAGCTCACCCTTGCAATGTCTGAGCTCATCTGATCCTGACTGCGCAGAGAGGAATATTCCTGCGCTATGAAACCTGCTGCTTCCTCCGTCAAGACAGGCTCGAGCATTTTGGCAAAATGGATGTACTTCCTCATGAACTCCACACTTACAATCTTCTCTCTGTTTAACAAAGTGATCAAGTTCTGTAAATGGGGTCCCTCACAGATCCAAACTGTAAGCTGACCTTCAGTCCAATCTGGCAGAGGCTGCTCTTACATCATTTTAACACCAGCATCCTGAATATGGAAAAGTATGTCTAGGTGTGCAAGTGAGGGTGAGGGTGTGATAAGCTATTCTGAACATTCTTAACTACACTAATTTGTGGCAACATGGTAAGAAGCCTTGAGTACTGGGAAAGAAGCATGTAGCATCTGCATGGTGGGAAGCCCTTACCTCTGTCTCTTAGGCCCATGCAGTAAACTATCATGTTTCTCATACACCTGAAGCTCCTTCTCCTCCTCTGCAGTAAAGGCAGGGTCGTCTGTGGCCAGTAGTTCGACTGTGCTGCCCAAAGGCATGGCTGGAAAGACAAGAGAAGAATTACTTGGGTTGCAGTAGTACTAGTGATCAAATGAGAATATGTACTTTCTGTCCCTCAGAATGCCTGTTTTATGTTTTAGACAACTGCTGCCTAAATGACCTGGAAGGCTCTAGGTCTCTCTGTAGGTATACTGAGGCTACACTTGAGCTGCAAAGATGGCTTTCCTGGTAAGTATATGTACACAAAGAATCTTTCATTTCCGATCTGCAGTCAGAAGGAACTGCACCATGTGTTACTGAAAGGAAACAAACCACATTCCTCTACTTTTTATATATATAGAAGGAATGCTTTGGCTAGTCCAGCATATTCTATAGGTGATAAGAATAACCACAAACTCTCAAATTATCTCCAATAATGTATGTATTATTGGAATGACTGGAAAGTCTGTCCATATTTGTCCCTGCCAGCTTCCCCTCCATCCCATTTCCCTCTTTATTTTAAATTATAAGCCACTTGGGATAGAGACTTATCAAACCTGCTTTTTGTAAAGCACCAAACAAATAAATACTAGAAATATTAATGCCCAGCTACTCAAAAAGCAGCAGCTACCTTCCTCCCTTGAATTTAGGCACTCAACAAATAAAGGCTGAGCTGTACTCTGGGCACACCTGCCATCCCTACAGGTCAGGATGCTGTCTATCCTGAGAAGGCACTGTGCTGCCGATCACATGAAATGTGGTCTAAGCCCGTTAGTTTATTTATTTATTATTTAGTTTAAACATTTCTATGCCGCCCCCATCGCAACAAAGCCTCCCGGCGGCTCACAAAGGATACATAAATACATAAATAATAACAATGTAACAATTAAAAAAATGTTTAAAAATTGTGAATAGTTGTGAATATGAAAAGAAGAAAGATCAATTAATGATCTTTTTATTCAGCCAATATTTTAACATAAAGTAATTTTAATAGTATTAGATTTATTTAATTTATTTTAAATAGATTAGTTTTATGCTCAGTTGTGGAATAGTTAATTTATTTTATTTAGGATTTGAAATACTGTTGTAAGCTGTCCAGAGACGACAGTGATGGACGGCCTACAAATTTTCTAAATAAATAAAATTAACTCATGAGGGTGTGAGGCAGCGAAGACAGAAATTAAGCAGGATATCAACAAATAAAGCAGAGTCTTATGACAAACGTATAGCCTATTTATTCTGTTGTCTTTCAGCTAGACAGCCAAACTACTATTTTATGCAAGCTTTGCTAAAACCACCAAGTCCTAGCTTTCGTCTTCTGCTTTAGGAAGCTAAAATCCTAATTTTTTCTTTGGGCTGAAAGTATTTGCATTCAATTCCTTTGTTTCAGTAAAAGTTCAGTCCATTTATATTTCCACAATCACTGTTGTTTTTCCTTTACTTCCAGAGACACACGCATGCAAAAATTGTATTTCCCTTTCAACAGGCTTCCTAATACCTGTGATAAAATTATCTTAAAGACTATTTGGTGCACACTTAATAAGAAAGAACCCTTATTAAACACATTCCATCATCCACAATAGTAGGTGCAGCTCTGAAAAATTTAATGATCAGGTGTTTTATATCTATTCTTCAAACAGTTTATTTTATTTAGCTTAATTATACACCATCCCATTCCCAATTGTATTACAAGGGCACCAACAACAAACATGAATCCATCAACAAGTTTACTAATGAACATTCCTACACATTATTAAACTTGGTTTTGCTGTATTAGAAGTCAATTATTTTAAGCATCTACTGAGAAAACTACATAAGGATGGGGAACCTCCGGGAGCCTATCTGGCTGTACACTTGGCTGGTGTTTTCAGGAGTTCGTGAAGGTGCCAGATGAGTGAGCTTCACTTATCCTTCTTCCCTGGATGGGAATGGTGAACAAGTGAAGGCAGGCCCGCAAGTGAATCAAGGAGTGAACGAATTTCAGCTAGTGCTTTGGCCAGGGCCCCACCAACATCATTCAGCCCACAGTGAGCTCAACAGATGGGTAATCTGGCCCCTGCTGCCCAAAAGTAGTTCCCCACCCCTAAGGAGTGCTGAAGCTGGTAAAACTGTGCAATACATTTGCCTTTTACCGAATGGGAATTCTAGAAAGAGTATGGGAAAGAGGTGCTTACCATCCCCATCCTGTTCACCAGATGCTCGGTAACGATGCATTCGTAGGACATGGTCAGAGATCTCCCGATCTTGTTCTGGGTCCATTTGATCCAGGACAATAAAGAGCAAATCAAATCTGGACAGCAAAGAGTCCTGAAGGCCAATGTTCTCCATGGGGGTTTTGTACTGGTCATACTGTAAAGATGACATAATATAGCAAACTGGTCTGAAACTCTTCAATCTGATCCCTAAATACTATTACACACTCCTTGTAAGCTTTTCTCATTTGCCTCAGCAACAACATAGGATGTGTGAGAGAAAAATTTTAAAGCTTGCATTAAAAGCTTCCCAAAACAGTCAAGGTAGCTAACAAGCTAAAATTAGAAGTAGGGCGCAGCATGTAAATGCAGAAATAAATACATAAATAAAATACCGCAACTATTTATTTATAAAGACCTGCACATACCAAAAATACTGCCACATTAAAACATCATGTGAAAGAAGAAACAAGGCAGCAGAAAAATCTGTTTGTTGCTGATAGCATCAAGCAATTAGGTGTTAGCAAAGCAACAGCCTGCAAAGCACAGCCTACCCTCTGCCACGAGCAGGGTCTGCATTTCAGATAAGGATCAATAGTGGCAGCTAAGCCCTATTTCAGGGAATCTCACCCACCATTACTCCATGCCATGGAGCCTCTTTTTAGTCATTAAGCGGCTTCCAGTAAATCCCTGGAGTGCAGTCTGAAAGCCTGTTACCCTCTGTATATGGACACCAATCAACACCTTCTGGGGTCAAATTAAATTACTGTGAATAACCTATAAGATTAAGCTTCAATACAATAATTTTTGAAATGCAGCCCAAGGAAGAAAATTAAGAGGGAAAGGAATGTTCCTGCAAGTTACCAGTCACTAGACTATTCAGGAGGTTCGTATCAGCTGTATAAGGGAATATGTAGGACCACTTAAAGAGCCTTCCCTTGTTTCCCAGCAATTGAACCGTGGCCTCATAAGGTGTTTAACCCAACCAGTGTTATTAAGCAATTGAAAACCTCAGTCCAGAAGAAGAGAGCCAGCAAGATCACAGCTTTGGCACCAAATTTAGATGAAAAAGCTGGCTTCAGTATGAGATGAAAAAGCTCCTTATGTACTCACCCTTCCATACACTGGATTGGCAGCTGCCAGGACACTGCAGCGGGCATTGAGCTGAGCCTGAATGCCTGCTTTGGCAATGGTCACACGACCTTGCTCCATCACCTCATGGATAGCTGTGCGGTCAATATCAGACATCTTATCAAATTCATCAATGCACACCACGCCTCGGTCCGCTAAGACCATGGCACCTGCCTCCAGGCAGCGCTCTCCTGAAAACAGAAAAGTAGGAGAGAGAAAGAGTATGCACAGTACTCTCACTATTTTCCAAATGAAAGGCTGGAATAAGGAGGTTCACAAAACTCTGTTAGGGTGGCAGTCGTGACACTACCAACTTGCCTTGTGAAAAGACGCAGCAGCCCCAGCATTGTTACCTTGCATCATTTCCTCTCTCCTACAGAAAAGCCGGGAGAATCTACTCTGTTACATTTTCTGGTCCACAAGAACTGAAGACACACAGCTGTGCACACATATATACCCTGATCCATTGCAAATTGAGTATCGAGCTTTTTCTTGAGTTGGAGAAGGCACATACTAAGCAGTCCATATTAATCAAAGACTACTGATAAACCAGATCAGAGGCAGCACACTGAGGGAATTCTGCCTGAAAGGAACAGGCGCAATTAGCAGAATTAGCTCCTGGACCATTCTTGGCTGTAAAAGATACCAATAGTCAGTGCAGCCTCCTGACATACAAGCTTTCAGCTAGCAGGAACACTGCCACTTTATTGATGCCTGGTTTCTACTCAAAACAGGTGAGTTAAAAAATGTTACAACTGTAAAGAAGTTCTACAAAAGACTTAAATATCTGCCTTGGCAAGTGAACAGGTTCAGAATGAAAACCCACTTAATCCTAAGCAGCAGCTTCATCCTTCAAGGCAGCACTTATTTTCAACAGGCTGTGCCTACGTCCCACTGATGCCTCCAGCTGAAGGCTCGCTGCCAGGCCATGCAAAGTTTACAGTCGTACTTGCAAGAAGCAACCCTATCGCGGCTTCAGAAAGCCAGCTACTGTTCCAACTCCACTGACTGGTTCCCTCGCATTGCACCTGCTCCTCACCTGTTTCCTGATCTGTGGTGACAGCAGCCGTCAGACCAACTCCAGAAGAGCCCCTGCCAGTAGTGGCAATGGCCCGGGGAGCTGTGCACAACACATAACGTAGCAACTGAGACTTTGCAACAGAAGGATCACCTGAATAGAAGACACAATGGCTGGTTATTGTGTTAATGTTGCCAAGTTATTGAGACAGTATGATCATCATGGTAAATGATTCTTTAAAGACATGCCTCCTTCTCAGTCATACCGATTAGCAGGATGTTGATGTCCCCTCTGAGCCGACTTTTATTCTCCAGCACCTTCTCCACTCCTCCCAGTAGCATGCACAGAATGGCCTTCTTGATGTACTCATGACCATGGATACTGGGGGCCAAAGACCTTGCAAGCTGATCAAAAACATCCTAGATGCAGGAAACAAGAAGCATAAAAGAAGCAGGTTAGCCACTGTCGCAAAGAGCAGCAGGAGCAAGGCTATTTTTTCAAGACCGCAAGGAGCAGATCAGGATAAGGGGATTTAAACCACCACTGAGTCAAAGACCCTGCCTCACAGGAAACGTAATGGAACTAAGGCAAAATCAACCCAGTATCAAATATGCATAAATATCATTGGAACAGATGCACTGCTCATTATGGTTTCTGGAAAAAAATACTATTGCAAGAGAACATCACAAAAGGATACCAACTTATTTATAGGCTGCCCCATGGCAGGGTTGTCAGGGTAGTTCACTACATTAAATGACCCAACTAAAAACTCAACAATAAAAATTTAACACAGCATAAAAACAGCCAGAGAACAACAATGGCTTAAATCTAAAACAGATTTTTAAAAATGCAGTGCAGACATCCACAAGACTTGACTTGTTTTAACATACATATAGTTTAAAAGAAGCTTACATGTTTCTTATAAATAAGAGTTAAAACCCTTTTTCAAGTCAACTGAATAAACATGGGTATCTTTTTTTACTGTCTTTCTTTTTATCCACCATCAGTAGCAACCCTAATTTTTAAAGCAAACTTTCTAAGGTTTGCTTCACATACTACATTTTTGGCATTTAGTTTAAACACCTTCAATGTACATCAAAAGAGTGTTCAGGGTAGGGGGGGCATACCTGCCCCCATTCTGTGCACTGAAGAAGCTTATTGAGAGCGCTGCAGGCTGAGTGGGCTTGGCTTCATCCATCACTGGAACAATATGGTGCCTCCCCATTACCATGAAGAATATACAAGTTTCTGAAAAGATTTCTACACAGGGTGGGCTCAACACTTGAGCAATGCCACCAGGTCAAGACGCCTCCTCAGATGCAGGAGTTCCCCATGCATTCATCTGTCTGTCTGGAGAAATCCCATCTCCACCGGGTATCTGTTGAGGAGCAATGCCTGGTTCTGGCCATGAGCAGGGACAACCCACGTGGCCCCAGTGCAGAATCACTGAAAAGGAGAGGTGGCTTACACAAGCGTATCTATTTGTTACAATGCCCTGCCGAGTCACACTACAGCAAACCTGAATTCGCATCATATAATGTGTGGAATGGCTCTAACATCAGCAGCTTACCTTCGAATGATTTTTGCTGAATTTTTTTATCTTGTTAACATCGCTTGATGAATATTCAGGACGAACTTCCTTGTTCATGTGCTTTACTTGGCAAGCAATCAGAATGGTCCTAGGCAAGACAAGGCAAGAGGGTCATGGCCATCTGTTGCAGGTCGAGATGCTCTACAAAGTTTAGTGGAAAAGGACTGCCCCAAACCTCACCCATACTTCTGGTTCATTTCCTCTGAGACTCTCAGAAGGAAACAAATCTCAAAAGACCTTTTAAATCACATGCCACGTGTATTTTAGCATCTCTGTCTCCTATGGCTGCACCATTTTAAGTTTGCTTTTAAAGTTATCCACCAGAAAGGAGTTCTCAATTAATTGGGGAGCACATTTCAAAGGCCATTTTAAATATAGGTAACAGCTGCAAACAGCAACTTAAGAACCAGTGTGGCACAGTATTAGAAGAAGGCTAAGCAATTGAAGGGTTGGGACATTTTGTCCCCCTGAACAACTCCCCTTTGGCAGACTCCAGTATGTTTAAAAGTCACCTCAAAAACCTTTTCTTTAAACAATTGGTGGTTTATCACTGAAATTCAGTAGCAAACTATCTGTAATGTTATAAGGGTTAAATCCAGCTTGCCTGTAAACAGCTGAATCAGCCTTCACTCCTGGGTGAATGCACTGAAGTAGGCTGACTCTCAGTCTAACCTACTTCACAGGGTTGTTATGAGGATAAAATGGAGACAAAGATCACCATGGAGGAACAAAGGTTGGCTGTGAATGTAACAATACACTAAGAGGCTTTCCCTACTTCTCTTCCATTTAGGATGGAATGCTTCTAAGGTAATGCTGTTAAACACAGGACGCATCATTTAAAAATAAAATGGGCTTCTTGCTCAGAAATACACGCTTTGTATGCAAATGACAAAAAAACATAAGTAATAATGGATTAGTTGGGCTGCAGCTCTAATATTACACAATGATTTACAGATGCTGCACACTAACTCCATTCTTTTCCACACAATACATAGAATGCCTTGGTTGTAATGGTCAGATGCATCCAACATGTTCTTAAGAATCAAATGAATATACTATTTGTGCATTCTTTTTGCCATCTCCCTTCACCAGAATAAGGGAGATTCTTTTAATATAAAAAAGGAATTTCATGGATTTTGAACAGGTTGTTTTTGAGGACAAGAAAAACTAGAGTTTGCTAGTGGTGCGATTCTACACTACTTATCAATAAAGCATTTGATGGCAAGAATAATATATTTTCAGTGTTTTTTTTTTACTTTGAATAAGTCATTTTAAGTTTCCAGAGCACGTGGAAGACTTTGATTACATTTAATTGTAGCATTAGAGCAGGATTTACTGCAGTCTTCCCCAGCCTTGTGTCCTCCAGATGTTTTGACCTACAATATCCAGTATTTCTGATCATTAGCTCTGTGGGCTGCACCTGATGAAAGCTGAAATCCAAAATGTCTGGAAGACACCACATCCAGATGAAAGCTACATTAAGCTGTGTACTGGCACTGCATTCATACCAGGATATCATCATTTTTTCATTATGGTTGAAATCTTTAATACATCAGTGAGTTAGATCAAGGGATGTGCAACTTGATCTGAAGATCAAGTTGCCTTCCAGACTTCTGGCCTAAAATTCCCATCAGCCCTTGCCAGTGTAGCTGATGGTAAGGGGTGATGAGGGTTGTAGTCCAAGGTATCTGGAGGACCACAGGTTGCCCACTCTCAAACTAGACCCATGCAGTTGGAAAGCTGTTTGGCATCCCTATACAACAAAATAAAAACCAAACAAAATTAATTTAGAATCTATTTAATTTTTAGACTGTGTGTACATTTCAAAATTTATAGCTTCCTGGTATTATGGTAAGGAACTGCATTGGAACAGGACAGATGCTCTCGTAAGACTCTGTGGCAGCTGGGCATTGAGGCAGTGCCATAAGCCTCACTGAGAAAATCAAAATTGCACTGCAAAAGCCGCAATCCTCTGCAAGTTTAGACCTCACCACCACCACCAAAAAAGGCCTGCAGCTGCCTCTTTGTCCCAAGCAGACATACCGGAAGTGGCTGGCCCTCTTGGCATAGGCTCCCGCTCTCAATAAGCCTGCAAGCTGCAAAACTTACCTAAATGTCCCCGACGTGTAGCCACCTTTCTTTCCTGGCAGGCAACGGAATGTTCCAATGACTTGCACTCTGTCCCCAGGCTTCACCTTGTCCACTAGGTCATCATCTAAAATGATGTCCACAGAACGTGGCAGCTGTCCAGCTGGTGCTTTCTCTGGCATTTCCTGAATTGTGATGGTTTGATGGTCTTTGTATGTAGAAAGACCAAATTCTGTCTCAAGAGGGTTGTTCTCTTCATCCTAAGATAAAAACCACAAAATAAGAGTCAGCTCCAGAGAATGTGGGAATAGGAAAAGATGTTCAGGAATGTACTGTGCAGATGTTCCTTTATGGAGGCTTAGTATACAGTTACCTCCAGCATACATGCACTTTGAAATTGTGAACAAACACATTATCTATAACCAGGCACCCAAGTTTGGCCTCAAGGACCCTTAACATTTCATTCTGAAAAAAGAAGCTAGATAATGCCTGGTAAGCTTGAAAATCAGAGGGAAGTGTATGTGTGCTTGACTATGAATATAGACACACCCAAGAAACTTCATCCAGAACATACATGGGACAACACTTACTGCCATCTGTAAAAGGCACTGCCAACCATCCAAGGCTAGAAAAGATTATTGTTAATTAGCTATTCTGACTGGTAATCTGCAAACTGAACATATCTCTCCTATCACCTCTATTACATTCTAAGTCATTCTTGTGGTGGCCCACTTGGTTACCCCGAGGGTTCAATCCTATCACCCCTGCCCTTGATGCACATAAGCCTCTGAGCTTTCACGCTTCCTATACCTTGAGTAAAGCTGTGTGTGGCAGCATCAGTTTCCATGGCCACTGCACCTCCTGCCTTGATGTGCACACCTAGATAGCCATAAATCCCTTGGGAGGAGGAATAAAGCAGCCTGGGGCTCTGATGGGATTGCTGCAAGTCCTCAGTCCCAGCCTCCTCCCCACCTGCCCACGTTTCAAGTCAATCTGCAGCCTTGAAAGGGCAGCTCACAAGATTGTTCCCTGCACTGGACAAGAGGGTGCGTGGAGCAGGGGCTGGCCCTCAGAGTCTCAACTCTGGGATCACAGGATTTTGGAGCTGCAACTCCAACTGTTCCTACAGCCCCCTCAGCCAACACTCTTAGTACAATTTTAACTGCTTAAAAGAAACACCAGCACGTAATGGAATATTTAATGCTGCACAATATGAAGTGACCAAATGTTCCCCAGAGTTAAAAAAAAAAATAATCCAAACTGTATATTCAAAGCGAGGAAGGCTGCACTAGTAGTAGGTTTGAACTTGTAATGAGGCTTTTCCATGGTATTCCATCCAATATAAACACCAATCCCTCACCTGAGATCCTGAAACAGCCCCTTGAGGCCATGGAACCCACTCAGCTCACCTTGGTGGGGTAAACAACTGTAGACGGAAATGCTTCCAGGGATGTCATATCTGTATAGCGGCGCTCAATGGTCTTCTTGGTGGCAGGGCAATAGTGCACACTGCGGACTATCTTTGGGCGCACCAAAGAGCCTGTGTTGCAGTGAGAACAAAGAAAAGTCTTACATTTTTTCAAGGCAGCATAAAAGCAGCAGTATTTCCTAAAACTGTGGCGACTTCCCACATTCACAGGCTAAATTTTAAAGTTCCATTTGAACGTGTAACATTTTAACAGTCACATTAACATGCCAGAGGCATCACATCATCTAAGTTTATTGTAACGTATTCTGAAGCAAGCATGCAAAGGAAATTAGCCTGTTAATTGCATTGTTTAGCAGAAGTTTAAAAAGAGACCCACATTAAATCTATTCCCCACAAGTACCACAACAGAGTTACTAGCTCCCAAGCAATAACCAGCTCTTGTATCAGGTCTTGTGTTACCCAAAATGTACAGTGCTTTGCCATTTAATTTCACTTTGCTATTACCTAATGTCTACCTAGTTTTGGTTCCTGACACTTATAAAGTATATAAAGCAAAACACAACACTTTGGGGAGAATGTCCATTTTCCTAGAGGATTCTTGATTATTATTGTTATTTGCTATATACTTTAACAGCTTAGATACTGCTTATCATACTTAACAAAATACATGTTACACATGCCTTAGAAGTATATACTCTTATGTTAATACACATTAGAGCTAGAAGTAGAGGGTAAAGCCAATTAAGGGATGATTAGAGTGAATTAAGTGCTTCAGAAGACTACCATTTATTCCATCGTGTTCCCACCCATTCAGCACCAAAGGCTGCTTTAAGGTTCGCTTCGCTTGCAGCCCCTTTCACCCACATTTTGTAACGATGCCTTCTACACAGACAATGCAGCTGAGGAAGCGAGAAGTTAATGTCCGGGGTGTCACATGTTTCGATCCAAAGCTGCCCTCAAGCCCAATGTAAAAATCTTCATATTGCTTGGAATATGTGGCATCAACGGAAGCAACGAAATCCTTCAGAGCGCGCTGGAAGGCAACCATCTCCTCAAAGGCACTGTTCAGCAGACTAGAACAAGGAAGAACAAGACTCATCAGCCTTGTTAGCAGAAAAAAGTGGGGGGGGGGATTCCCACAGGGCAAAAGAATCCTAGTGCTGCTTCAGCCCCTGCTAAGATTTCGATGGCAGGCAGTTGTGCAGGAGGGGTCTGGACCTCAGAGGGAGGTTATTGGTCTTTGCCCTGTCCCCGCCTCAATGCCCAACTTAGGCCCTTGCACCTAAGGAAAATCTGCATCAGCATCTACCTACAAATGTGATTCAAGTCCTGGCTATGGATTGCCCAAGCTATGAAATGCTAGCCTTAATTTGCAACCCACCCAGGGAGCTAATGGGATGGGATAAAGGTCCAATAAATAAATAACAAAATTAACACTTTGAGAAACTTTCCAATAAAAATATTTAGTTCCAGCATAAGGATCAAAAACTGAAGTCCACTCTTACCCACCCACTGAGCTATTGATCCTGTAAAGTACAGAGGGCCATTTTAAAGTGCAGTGGATGTTCTTATTATTACCTTTGCGCCAATTCACATAATCAGACAGTCCAGAGAGACTTATTTAAATATGTGATGGGTTGCAGCATGTGTGGTTGCTAGTGTGAAAATTTAAGCAGCAACAAGAGTTTAAACATATCATGGGTTCCATAAGGGCAGCAGCCACCAGGTTCAAACAACCAGCCATGGCTGTGCCTGGGATATTCAGGATGGCATCCACGGATTGTTCTAAGGTTGACTGTTTCTAGGGTTAGAGTCTCAGATCACCTGCAATGCCCAGCTGTGCATGACAGAACAAACCATGACACCCCCCCCCCACAACTTGCACATTCAAAAGAGCAGCTGGTGCATAATTTAGAATTCTGTGGGTTAATTAACCAATGGAGGCTTATCATGACATATGATCTGAGTTATGGTGCAGTAAATTAACCTGAATTTACATTTTCTCATTATGTTTTGAATTTTTTATTCTATTTATGTAAGAATCTGAACAGGTGGGTTTCTTTTATGACATTCAAGCATGATTTATGAAGCAGTGTTTGAAGTGGCCATTTTCCTGCATGAACAATGAACCAGTTTTTATTTTTTTTATTTGATACAGTATAATCTGAAGACAAATGGTTAAAAGGTAAATACTCGATACCATAGGGCTCATGTTGTTTCTTTATATCTTTGGAAACCTTGTTTAAATTAAGCTGGAAGTCATTTTACTACTGGATGTTTTGTTCAGGGGCAACAAGCTTTTTCCATGTACAGGTAGTCCTCTTATGGGAATTTTCAGATACTTCATATCAAATCATCTATTATTCTTTGCATGTTTTTATCTTAAAAGGAGATTTTTTGTATCCTTACTGGAGCACTGATTTTTACTTATTGTGTATTAAATATCATATGTAGCCCTACATTTATACTTATCCATGCAACCGTTTTCTGTTCAAGTACATTTCACTGCCTCCATAGAAGTAGTTGATAACCAGTGCATACAAGAACAAAACTAGAGACACCAATCACCAAGAAAACCACAACTGTCTTCAAAAGTATATACAGATGGCTAGGAATACAATGGTCTAGAGCAGGGGTCCTCAAATTTTTTTAACAGGGGGCCAGATGAAAGGTGCCAGTGATGGGCACAGGCCTCCAAGGCAGTGTGGGTGGGGGGGCGCAGGCTGGGGCAGGGAGGGGGCACACATCCGCACACTACGAGGTGGAGGCTTGCTTGCAAGGAGATCATTTTCTTCGCGCGAGTCTCCACATGAGCAAGCCCTCACCACGCACAGCGAGTTCAAAACCTCTATGGTGGGCCAGATAAAAGGGCATGGTGGATCCGGCCCACGGGCCATAGCTTGAGGACCCATGGTCTAGAGAATACTTTAAAGATCTATAACATGGCTAGTCTGTCAAAACTAGGCATTTCTGTCCCTAAAAACACCTGGATGACAGATGGTCTGGGAATTCTATTACCTGGTTTGCACAATCAATACAAGCCATGGGCTGTTGTAGGGTAATCTGAGGACTGGTTAACCCTCCAACAATCCATGTTAATCCATGCAATCCATAATAAGCTGTAGCCAGCTGTGATTATGCACATCAGGTCAGCGTACACTGTGGATCACAATAAGCCACCATGACATGTTTAAGCCAGGAAGGCTTGCTTTGATCACACAAACTGGCTCTATGTAAGCCACTCTGAGCATCTTTTTGAAGGAGTGAGAGGAACCAGAGTACAATATATTAATAAGACTTAACCTTAACGCAATATACTCGTATTAATGCTTAACCTTTAAAAAAAAACATACCGGCTGGCTCTTTTTTCGTTCTTCCTTCGGAGATCATTAATATTCACAATCAGGCGGTACTGGTTGTCACTAATCATGTCCCGTACTTTAGTCTGGTAAACACCCTGATCCTCCTATAATACAGTCAGTGTTACTAAGAAAATGTTGCATTTATCTGGATAAGACATGAGTCATAAAGCAATTTACCAAATCCATCATGAAAATTTAACAAAAAAACATTTACATCAACTTGGTCTTCAAGAAATTGTTTCAGGCCCCAGACTAACATCTTTTCTCTTTTTCAATAAAGGTTTGCAGTTCTCAGCCTTTCCTGAACTCCTACTTGGAAATTGCTGGAGATTAAGTATGCCTGCTACTGAGTACTTATTGCTTATACAGAAAAGGGAAGTGCTTAGTCAGTGACAGAAATCTAGCTAAGTCCAACAGAAAAAAAAGTTGAAATTTATGTCTCTACCAAAAGCTCAGGAATCCAATTTTTTAAGAGGAACATTAGAAAGAAGTCACAAAAGAAGTGTCACACCTTAACTTGATGTGGGCTCCAGCCACTGTCACACAATTTAAGCACCAGATCTTATCAGGATTTAACTATAACTTTTAAAGCACCACTTTAAGCCCAGGAAAAAACCAGAAAGCCCTTCCTCCATTCACCCAAAATTCACTGAAAATGTTTAAATTAGAAAAATAGAATGAGTTAAATGCATTCACATTCACATAAATGTATTTAACTTGATTCACTGCAGAAATGTACATGTATCATAAACCAAAATGTATTTGAAACCATACTGACAAGGAAGATTCCATGTCTGAAGGATGCTAAAACAGGAATGGGAGCTTTCTAATAACTTGGTCCACTTTGCTCCCCTCTCCTCAGTACTCCAAGAAATAAGAAAATATGTTATCCTTCTGTAGTGGCTCCAAACTTGTTAACTTTCAGGTAAGGGTGGCTGGTACTATGAGGAAGGTAAAGCATCTCTCATATGACTGGAGAAATGTAAGCTGGCAAACTCCTTGGATTATTACATTCATTCCCCATCCACATCACCTTGTGGCACTGGGGGAAGAAAAAACATAGGCTTCCTGCTGCAAGAGGAGCATGAAATAGTTCGCATTATACATTTGATATACAGAGCTATAAATAGAACTTTAATTGGTTAAATCATGCTATCATTGACACATAAACAGGCCTGAGAAAAGCCTCTTTTCTAGAAATCAGCATGTGTGCATCCTTGAAATGCAACTGACACTGACCAGGCACCAGTCCAGGGAAAGTTAGTTGACACTTGACAGATAACAGCAGCTGAAACAAAGGGCAACCCACACCTGCCCAGCCCATCCTCTTCCTCTTCTGTGTAATAGCACCTGCCTACTTCAGAGCATCTTCTTTGCTAGGCAGGTGGGAGAGATCATGCCATTGTAGCTTTTTACATTTGTAACCTATTGGAAAGTGTTAACTGTGTTGCATGTAACCCTTTAATGATCAATGTATAAAAGGGCCAACTGAGGACCCCACAGGTGCACTATCTGGAACGATTTGTTGGTAACCAGTTATTCTCTAGAATAAATCTTTAAAAGAAAACCTTCCCCTGTTGTGTATTTGGGGCATATACACACCAGAACACAGAACATTTGGTCAACACATTATAGGGCGTTGGTCTTCATTTATTCTATTTTAATTATAGAAGCCCTTTGGGATCTCTTGCTGCCTTACAGAGATTAGCAAGGAAGACACAAACAATCTGAAGATATGCAAAGGAAAGATTATATACAATTTAAATATTTAACTGTTCGTATTCATTTGTATCATATTTCTGTATGATGCATTTTAATGTAAACTGATTTGAGATTTTAATTATAACATATTATTTTCAATGCAGTTCTTCCTGTATGGAGAGCAATGCCCTGTTTCCTAGTTGGAAGCACTCCAGAAGTTAGGGCCATAGATGCTCTAAGATTTCCAGGAAAGGCCGTTACTTTGAATCAAATCTCCTCCAGTGAATAGCGTTACTGAGAAGATGAAATCCACTCCTTATTCGGTTATGTATCCACTTTGTCATTAGTGAGGCATTTACAAGGATGTAATTACTAGTCAATTCCACTCACATCATTTGGATCAGAACTGACTCGAGCCTATACAGACCAAGACCCTCGACTCAGGCCTTAATTTTTAGAATTAAATGTTCCAGGCCAAGGGTGTTTAAAAAACGGAACTATAACGCATAGTGGGAAACTTGTGCCAGGTAAGGGCTGATGGGAGTTGTAGGCCAAAACACTGGGGGAAACAATCCTTGCCTCCGATGCCAGATTAGCAAAGGCTCGCTACAATAAGTACAAACACATTCTACACATGCTCTTTCTTACTTCCCGACTTATCCCAGGACTGAGCCTTGCCTTAGCAGCCGTTTCTGCGGCACAGTCCTATGACAGCCCCTTGCCGTGAACCTCACTCACCTCATCGTCCAAAAAATCCAAGTACTCGCGTTGAGCTTCCCGCAACTCTGCATCCTCCAGCGTCGCTACCGCGGGGGCCGCCATCCCGATGAGCCGAGCACTCGTTACGGACCTACGTTGACTTCTGCGCGCGTGAAAAAAGTCCTTTCACTTTTCCTACTCTGCCCTTTGGCGCGAAAAATCTGATACTTTTTCCCGCCAAGGTACAGGCGTCAGAATGATCCCTAAAACGTAGCCTCTCCATTGGTCTTAAGCGGAGATCACCGACCAGTAGAAACGCTCGGTCTAGAAAAAACTATCCATGGCGCGAACGTTCCGAGACCACAGCCAATCAGAGAGGCTTGACGTTAGGCGCGTGGGGGGGGGGTTGACGCCTCTAAAAATTACGCCAGAGGCATCGTGGGACATGTAGTTTGGAAAACTCAGATGCCTAATTTCCGGTTGAACTTGAAAGTCCATTTTCAACAAGAAATAAAGAACGTGAATGTTATTTGGAGGATGAGGGGAAATGCTGCTCTTTAATTTAAGATTATATGGGGATTTTATATTGTTTGTTAAGGAAGTCCCTTCAGGACGATGCGGGTCTGCTTGACTAGAGAGGCAGCAGAATGCGTTCTGGATAGGTAGGAATAATTGGGAGCTGTTCTTCATTGACGCGACAGACCTCCCCTCAAACTAGAACAGGGCTTTGCAATACGCTGCGTTTGTGTTGCCTTGCCTGATTCAATTGTCTTCGTTTAAGGAAACGGACACCAGGGGGTGATCTACACCAACGAACCTCCTGTCTCTGAGACCGCACAGCCTTGGTATTTATGCAAATATGCTTCTCTCATTTGGGCACATGGTAATGAATGCAGTGTTGCTTCCGTTATGATGTTGGGCCACACATGCAATGCATAGATAAGTTGGAGGAACTAGAAAGGGGAGCTGTGCAGGAACACGATCGTTTACAGCTCAGTGTGTGGTGTTGGTTTTTAGCTCGGTTGGAGCCGAGATTTTTTTTTTCCTTGAAAAAAATAATAATAATAATAATAATGAAGGAGGCTGGTTGGGAAGAGAAGAGGGGGCACCTGCCGTGCTTTTTTGTTGCTTTGTTCCCACTTCTCAAGGGATGAAGCCAATGGTATTAGCATTCCCATTCTCACCACTTAAAAGCAGTTCCCATAAAGGCCAGCGTGTTTTACTTCAGTATAAAGTCATCATAAACCATGTGAACTACTTCTCAGTGGACAGGTATTTCCAGACATGTATTGAAAATGTACTGTACATGGTTTGTTTGTTTGTTTGTTTGTTTGTTTCAAAGGACACAGGAGGGGAGAGAGGAAGTAGCCCTGCATGTACTGACAGCTTCACTTGGCAAGTTATAGAGGGAGAGAAACCAGGAGGGTGAAGGAGTTTGGGAAAGCTACACAAGAATCTCCTCCTCCTAGTTGCTGCTGTTTTGCTTAAGCCCATTTCCTTTTCCCACCAGCCCACAGAAGCCACATCTCCTGGCCTCAGAAGTCAGCAAGGTCAGCATACATGCACCCAAGGAAAACTGCAACATGTGATCATGTTGCATGTTGATATATCAACACTGTGATATACCTGGGCTAGTAGAAATAGTGTGAGGATCACAGCTTGGTTGAGTGTTGCAAGCTGTGGCAGTGGATCAGGCATTATAATGCTAGTAACAAAGCATAAAATGTAAATTACCTCCCATTTTCTTTTTGTTGTTTTTAGGTGTCTTCAAGTTATTTCTGACTTATAGCAACTCTGCGAAAGAATGTGCTTCAGAATGTCCTGTCCTTGACAGCCTTGTCCTTGTAAATGCAAGGCTGAAACTTCTTTTATGGAATTGATCCCTCTAGTGTTTGATCTTCCTCTTCTGCTTTTGACTTTTCCTAGCATGCTTGTTTTCTCTGGTGACTCTTACGATGAGCCCAAAGCATGACAGCTTCCAATTAAGTTTTGTCACTTTTGCTTCCAGAGAAGGTTCTGGCTTGATTTGATCTAGGATCCACATGTTCATCTTTCAGTCATTCCAGGGTATTTGAAAAAATATCCTCGAGCACCATGTTTCAAACACATCAGGGTTTTTTTCCCAGTCAGCTTTCTTCACTGTCCAGGTTTCCCACCAATACAGAGTTGAGGGTACAATGCTATGGATGATCTTGACCTTGGTCTTCGTGTGCCATACTAAATATATGAGCCTTTAAGGTTCCACAAGACTCTTTGCTGCTCTTAACAAAACTATGTGATTTAAAAGGGAAGGAAATGGAGAACTCAAACTTTTCTTTTTAAGCATAAGTATTTAGTCTCATTCAATCCTGCACTGAAATATCAGTGTAAGCCCCAGGTTCTTACACTCAAAATGTTTACTTTTTGTTTTTAGAATTCCTGCTTGCCAGGCCTAACAGCAGTTGTAGGCATGCAGGAGCTGCATCAGGATGTGAGATGTGGAAGAAAGGCTTAGCTCCCACCCCCAGTTCCACAGACCTTGCGTTCCTGGTCCTGCTCACCCAGGTGGGTTCAAACAATACTGTAAGCCCAGGGTAGATCTATAGCCTTGACTTAAAGTTGCCTGGGGAGCCTGCTGTGTCTGACTCAGCCAGCTCTTCCCTCCTCAGTCCTCCTTCCTGCCAGCATAGACAGGGACCCAGCTGGATGACAGCTGAAGAAAGTAGGCATGGTGGGAGCAGTTACCTGCTTCCTCTCCATATGATTCTATTCATGCTGACAGAGCAGGTTGGCTTGTGAGCAGTTTGGTCCCCTGCAGCATCAGCAGGGAACTGGGAGTGCGGGGGCCTGAGCGGCCTCGTTTTGGGCGGCCGCACCAGTACAAGGTGGCCCATCCCACCTCACAGTGGTGGTGGTGCTCCTAAGCTGAGCGGCACCATGGCTAAGCAGTGGGGGCCAAGGGGCAGAGAGAAGTGCCCCCTGCATTTCACAAGCTGCTCACTGAACAGAGGGGGTGGCTGGTACTTCTCCATGTCACTGCTGTGCATGGCAGTGACAGGGAACTGTGCCCCACACTCCAGCTCATGACTGGTCTCTCTGGGAGGCGTCCCAGACAACCATGCTGCGACACCTGCATCCTTCTGCCCTGGGCCGGTGTAGTGCCTGCAGGTGCCATGCCAGCAGGTTGGGGAGCAGCCCTGAGTGATGCTTTGGAAGGTGGTATGCAGCCGGCACTGGCAGTGCCTTGGAAGAGGGGCAGGGCAGGTGTGGGGAAGGCTTAGGGGAGAAGCCCCTCTTCTCTCCCGCACTGGGCAGCATGATTGTGAGGTGCTTGCACTGATGGATGCAGTGGACAGGAGGCACCCCCCCCACCACCACTTGAGGGGGGGCATGAGCTGCCTGCTTCTCATACCTGCTCTTGCCTGGAGGAGCTGATACTCAGCCGAGCATGCTCCAGGGAAGTGCTTCCTGTGCCATGTTCCGCACTTCCCAGCGGGAAGAGGAGAAGCAGGGTGACTGCCTCTCAAGAGAGGTTTGTTCTTGTCCCGGCACCTGCCACCATAGCAGCAGCCAACGGGATCCAGCTGCTTGGCCTGACTGCAAGGCTAAGCAGACCCATTCCCCATCGCATGCTGCCTCTACGAGCACTGAACAGGTGGGTGGTACATGGCAAAGTCCAGTCGCTTCTCCCATGCTCCTGCCCATGCCACAGGGTGGGAGGGGTTGATCACAAGCAGCCTTGCTCTCCCAGCATCAGTCGGCACATGTGGGGAATTCAAGGACAGCTGTGCAGAGTGGTGCTTGGGCATTTTGCTGGCTGCCTGCAGCTGGAGCCTTGTGGTCAGAACTGCAATAATTTTTGGCTGCTCTTAAGCCTCCCCACACCCCTGCCACTGGTTTAGTGCATTGTAAACTACAAATGAGTCGTGCTAATCTTGAACTGTCTAGTTTGTCCTTCAAGTGCTATAAAAATGCAAGTGTCATTATATGTGAGCTGTGTTCCATAGATTTGGCTTCTAAATTCTTGGCAGTGTAGCATTACAGACTCCTGACTTCCTGTGTTGCAGCTGTTTCAGTGCTGTGCTGCAGACACTTCCACGAGAGTGCTTCTCCTTTGCACACTTATTAATGCTATGGCACTGGCTCTGGTAGAACAAGCTGATTTTTTTTTTTTTTTTGTAGAGTAACTTAACTGCTCTACTAGCTGTAATAGAATAACTGCTTTTTCCTAGAAGCAAAGGGCTACAACTTGCCATTACATTAAATCTGGAAGCTACATTATTTTTTCTTTTTACTCTAGAGTATGTTTAGGACCCCTAACCCACTTTTTAAAAGAGTCCCCCTGCCCAAACTATGGCTTCAGTCTGGGTTGGGTGCCGAATTTAGAGTAAAACTGAAAAGGGTAAAAAAGACAATGCTACAAGATACTGTCAGGATGCTTTGATGGTAGCCACAAGACAGGATAACCAGGTTCAGTCTGGAAAGACCCCCTTTGCCTTGAACCTCAGCAGTTCTATTGAAAGATCACTCAGGACCCCTGCAGTTACTTATGGCAGCATTCTAACATGTAGCAGTTCTCACTGCCAACTACAAAATCACAGCCCATGTACAGATATTTTTATAACCTTCCAGTTATATACAGAGGATTAGATTTCCAGATAATGCATCTCGGTGTCTCTATACACAAAAAAATACTCTAAAGCAATCAGAAATGCCTGTGACAATAGAACATTTCTCTGAGTAAGCCTTACTGACAAGTCAGTTCAGTGAATTCCTGAAAGTTTAGATCAGCCTCTGTGTCTGCTTGAACATGCAAGTGTGTCTGCTTGAGCAACCATTCAGGAAAACTGGTTTGACAACCACACTGCACAGGCAGTTGCCTCTGTGAAACTAGATGATTAAATGGGTCCATTTAGTAACAAATGAATGTCTTTGTCTCATCTGCAGCTGATGGAAACACCAGTATTTCCCCACTGAGCCTCCAGCAGCTTCTCAGTTCAGCTATGGATTCCATCTTCTTAAAGGAACAGCAATGCTGAACAGTAACCTGGCTTGGAATTCTGCTGCTTACTGAGGAAGGGGTGCAAGTCTGATTTTATAACGCAATGACCCCAGTTAACTGCCTTAAGGGCACAATCCTAGGCAAGTGTAGAAAAGCCCTACAGCTCCCCAGGCATTCCCCAGTCAGCCAGGCTGAGAGTTCCAAAAAGAGTTTTTTTAATCCTGAAACGTGCATAGGACTGTGCACTAATTC